TCTCTATACCGAATCAGCTGGATCATCTTAATTACGTGATCGTTGTTGAATAACGAGTGAATCCTACAAAGCTATATTTCATTGAGTCTTGCCGCGACGACCGCTTGCACTCAGTTGCCTGGAGGTGGGGCATTTAAGTTGGCCACAGCTCGATGATGGTTGAGCATCTGACATGTTCAATGCTTCTCGAATCATCATGTCAATTAGATCCAACTCGTGCTTATAACGAGCGATGTTTCAAGAACTGATTCTCCTTGAATTCTGGTATTGGATCGATCATTTAACATATTCAACCTTAGGAACAGGTCATGATGTTTATGATACCTATAGATTAGGAAATGGCAGTTGGACCTGTTAAACAAAGTAGTTGAGCAAAATAGATTTATTCCATTTCAGGAGCACCTCCTGTGGGAACCAAACGACAACGAACGCCCGCCAAGTGAAGGAGAATAAAAGAGAAAGATTCTGTACTCGGCTAGGAATTATTCCTTCAAGACATGGTAATTGTGCCTTATAGCAAAAGTATTAAAAACCTATGAACATAAAGGACATCACAAACCGGAGGCGTGCTGCTTATGCAAACGGCTCGTGATTATTATCTCAAGAAACACAAAAATATGTTTCATTGTCAATGAACAAACCGCTTCCCCCTGACCAGTCTTGAATAGAAGCAAATGCAAGAACAATTCGCGAAATCGTCTTTTCACTCGATACCATGGTCTATCATAAACGTAGTGTATTTTACAGACAGTAACCGCTAGTGGTTTGAAGCGGATTTGTAATCACAGCAAGTTTCAAACAGATAGATCCTAAAGGACTTGAACACGATTGCAATTGCTTAGCTACACTTGTGTGTGCTTCGCTCCGTCATCAGAATCACTAGTTTGATATTCGCCTTTGATACTGACACCGATGTGAGATCAGTAAGAACATATGTTACGAAATAGGCATTACGTTATTGCACATTACGCTGTAATTTGGTAATAGTATCAAATTCTGAGATCCGTTGATAGCATGTGATATGCATTTAGCACCATGGAGCCCAGATTTGCTGAAACGAACCCAAAAGGCCGCAAAGGCAGGTTTCGCAGGAGCCATAGATCGAAGAGCAGTGCTCTGTGCTGTTGTGTATGTATCGCGATATGCGTTACGCTGTTATCTTATTTTTGTGTACCACATAAGATAAAGTTACTAACAGTTTATCACGATATTGTGAGTGTTTATTGTTATTTATTTGCTGCCAACAACGCTGTTTTTCTTAAGGCGTTTTCAGTGACAGGAAATTACGAGAATGAGGTAGAAGGATTAGTGTCGGTTTGGCAGCTTTCCAAAGAGCGCTGAACAAAGCTGGATGCTGCATTCGTCCGTCAGACGCTGCAATCCTCCGATGACGATTGCTGGTGGTGGTCGGTACGGCGCAAGCAACTGGTGTTTTGGCTGTTTGGCTGCGGAAGTGGTTCGGTTCGACGATCATCCGGCAAAAACAAACCTGTCCGTGACCGTGACGAAACAGGCCCCGGAAGTTCGGTGGCGTGTCGGCTGGTGCGTGAATCGAGAATCAACGAACGAACAGGTGTCAGACGGTAGCGGGTCGGAACCGGAAAAGAAATCCGCACTCCGACAAGTCGGTAGTCAGTGGAGAACGTCGCGTCGGTGAACTGAAGTCGAGGCGGCGGTTGCGATGGAGGAGCACCAGGAAAGCGGCCCGAAACAAAACATGCTCTCCACGAAGCTTGCACGAGGAACCACCACCAGATGCGGACCGATGGTCCGGTACCCGCCGACCGTCGTCCTGTGTCTGGTCAGCGAATTCGCCGAACGCTACGCGTTCTACGGCATGCGCACCGTACTGGTGCTGTTCTTCGTGACGGTGTACGGTAGTCAAGCGTCCAGCGCCAAGCTCGTCTATCACGCGTTCATCTCCCTGGCCTACTTGTCG